AGGGATTTCCAGATGATTCTGATTCACTTCCACCCAAGAATCACTGTCTAGACCAGTGTTTCTCTGCTCGTTTTCTCATTATGAACTCTGACAAAGAGCCCTTTTAGACACTGTTCTGTTCATCATACCCCCCATGAGAGTCTAATATGACAGATATACCACGTGTCATTTGATGTACCGCATGTCTATCCATGCTGTGTACGTAAAAACTGTAAGGGTTTTTTTGTCCCCAAGGACCAATTTTCACCCTTTTGTGGACAATCTCACCCCTGTTGAGAATGCATGGTCCAGATCTTTCCAGTGTGAGTACTTTGAAGAACACACTGGGATGGATATATGTTACCAAATATAAGTATACGAAGTCAGCGTGTTTGTTAGACATCAGGCACTGTACTGTGTAAATTGTCCTTCATTCATCTTCCTTTTCATGATTGTTTATGTTTTATTTGGTTATTTCTTTGTTTCATAGCCACCAGACTGTTTCTCTCTCCCTTCAGTAAGTTTGTTAATCTCACCTTCTCAGTTTTTGTTCAGCGTTTGTGTTTGGCTTCTTGTGCCATGAAAGTCCCCCATGCTCTGTGAGACTCAATTCCATTTGGGGCTTGTTTGGGAATTAACCTTGTCTTACAGCGAACTTGCCTTAAAGGTGACCCAGAGGGACACAGACTGTTTTGATACCTTTCATCGTTGGTATTATATGCATCTCAGTTCCACTGCAAATCCTTCTCTTGGTTTACGATCTTCTTCCTAGATATGGGGACATGAGAAAGGAACTCGGCTTTAGAATCCGGGACATGTGGTATAACCTGGGTGAGTGTCCAACCTCAAACAGGCCCCAGCACCCCTTCTGTGTGATAAGCATCCTACAGTGAATTTTTTTTTTATTTTAATCTATATAATCCTGAGATTTATTTGTCTGTGAAGTGAAAGTTGGTTGGTTGGTTTCACGCCTTCATCTCAACTGGGACATTGATAATGAACTCTTTACTTTTGTATTCACATGTTATCAGAACATAATATTTAGTCACTTAATTCTGAATTGGGTTGATTTTTTTTTCCCCCCCACGTAAATTTTTCTTTTCCTCTGGGCCCTGTGGAGGAAGATTGTAAGACTTTACTTACGGTGAAATGATATTTTACTATCCTCACTTACTTTTATTTCAGGTCCTCACAAAATCAAATTCATCCCATCCATGGTGGGTCCCATTCTGGAGGTCACTCTGACCCCCGAAGTAGAGCTCCAGAAAGCCACAATCCCCATTTTCTTTGATATGATGCAGTGTGAGTTCAATTTCAGTGGCAATGGAAATTTCCATATGGTAAGAAGTGGAAGACCTTGTCATCTTAGACATGCACATGTGGTCAACTCTCATTTGGCTTCTTTCTATGTAGAGAACCAGTAGCCCGAATAATACAAATCAGAGTTGACCTAAAAATTCACTTTACATTTTACTTTGTAAAGCAATTAGACACGTAATCAGATATTCCAGCTCAGAGCCTGGAAGAAATCTTTCTGCTGCATGTCTTTCCTAAAGCAACATTCTGTCTCTGGATAATTAAAAGTTAACTTAATGCACTTTAATCCTGTCTGTTTCAGTGTCACTGGGAGAATAATGTAGTGAATTAAATAAAAGAAGTATCTGTTATAGTACAGCTGAGGGGGTGATGCAGTAGACTGAGGTCTAAACCATTACTCCAGCTTTGAGAATGTGGTTTTCCTTATGTGTCTGCTCCATGTCTCAGTTTTCTTATCTACAAAGTGCATTAACATTGAAAGGAAGATTTTGCAGCTACGAAGCTCTGCAAACCAAGGCTTAGACAAGAAACAAAAATAAAATAGAAAATTAGAATCATTAAGCTATATTTATATGCATAGTTGTAGCAGAAAGTAATGTTTTAGATAATTTTTTAAAAATAAATGTAAAGCAAAGGACAGAGTAACATGAGACTGCTTTAGAATGCTTCGAGGGGGCCTTGGTGCACTGTTCATGAATGACTCCAAGTGTGGTACTCCCCTGTATATGTTGGAAACAGTTCACAAGTCAGTAGAGGGTTTGGACCTGATCTAGAAAGACTGGCCACATCCTCTTCTAAGGGTGCAACATCATGCTGTGAACTTCTCTCTCTGCTTTCAGTTTGAGAACGAGCTGATCACAAAGCTGGACCAGGAGGTAGAAGGAGGCAGAGGAGATGAACAGTACAAGGTTCTTCTGGAAAAACTGTGAGTATTTCAGAAACAACACCTCGATTCGGTGACATCATTTAGTAATGGAGAAAAATAGGGTTTCTGCTGCACCAGCAAATCGAGTAGCCTCAGCTCCGCTGGGGTCACCCCCACGGTGGTCCTTGGTACTGTTAATGGAGTGTACACCATCCGCTGCTGACATTGTTTATCCGATGTGAGTCAAATGCTCATGTTTTCTTGGCCGGCCTGGCCCTGGAGAACA